GTCTGGCTTCATTACAAAAGAAAGCTAACCAGATTTGGGGCTTTCTTGATATCTGCTTGAGCGACACATTTTCTAAAACCTTCTTGACAGAGGATTTTAAGCCAAGTTTTTCTGATGAATCCGGCAATCTTACTTCGGTTAGCGATAAAACTGTAATTGTGGCCCATGTTCGGCTAATCTTTATCAGAAGAAATCACTGTGATAACCTGTCAAGCCAGCAGGGAATGGTAGATTTGTGAAGTCTAACCTCTCTCCAGGCCATAGACACAAGACTGCAGGACAACTGGTCTCGAAAGCCTGAACTTCGAACCTCGGAATTTAGACTCTGGACCCCGAGAAGCTGGCTTCGCTTTCGAAGTTTCACTATTGAATGTCAGACTTTGCGCATCAAAAGTCAAGCACATTAGTGCGTAGCTTTGGAAAAAAACACAATTTATTAATAAGTCACCAATAATATTTTGATTAAACGTTAATTATACGTTATGACGATGGCTTTTATCTCGTGTCAAGTGCCTCTGATGAAGAGTATTCATCATTTCGCGTGGCAGGACAAAAAAAAGTTTGGCCCTTTTTCACCGAAACCAAACAACAGGCTGCCGCCGTCGTGTTATGTTGAGACGAAAAAAGGTTGACTTTCAAGGAATCGCTTCTTTTATAAGCGTTGAGCTGACCTTCATTTCGAGTGAAAGTGTTGGGTGAAGAGATTCGAAGGATTCCTCTTGACCAGCTGTCGATTGGTTCGACTGGAACATTAATGCTGGCTCTGTTTCCGAAGTTTAATCTCATTCGATTCCGGTGAAAAGGGGATAAACTTCCATTCTTCATATGACAAATGTCATCAGACCGAGGTATCATCGTCACAACCAAATTCAACCAAGTTTTCATGACTCGTTAGCTTCAATTTGGCTGTGATGATGCTACCTTGCTCTGATGATGTTCGTCACATGACAGACGAAAGCTAAGCACATTTTTACCGGAATCGAATGGGATTACACTTTGGCGACAGTGTCAGCATGAATCTGGCAGTAAAGCCAATCGACAGCTGGTCAAGCGGAATCCGCCGTCAACTTTTGGTGGAATCGACCTTCGAATATCTTCACGCAACACTTTCGCTCGAAATGGAAGTAAGTTCAACGTCCTAATCGCTTGCTAGGATAGGCACTTGCCTGAAAATTCCGGCCAACAGAACAACTTTATTTTTTATACTCAAGTAGAGTTTCGATACTGCCAGTAGATCAGTAGAATAATATGTATTCACCCAGTTTCGTTTAGGGTGATGAAGGACTTTGGTGAAAGCAATGCTGTGTGAAATTGCATGAAAACGTGAGTTCGAGTCGCATTATTGTTAGACAATTCTACTGCCAGTGCTTCATCGCCTTAAACGAAAAGGGTGAAAAATGAACAACTATATTTTTCATATTTAAGTCGAGTTTCGAGACTATCAGTAGATCAGTAGTATGATATGTATTCACTCAGTTTCGTTTAAGGTGATGAAGGACTTTTGTGGAAGCAAGGCTGTGTGAAATTGCATGGAAACCTCAGCTCAAGTCGCATTATTGTGATACAATTCGACTGCCAGTCCTTTATCAGCTAAAACTAAATAGGGTGAATACAGAACAACTTTATCTTTCATATTTAATTAGAGTTTCGATACTAACAATAAATCAGTAGTATGATATGTATTCACCCAGTTTTGTTTAAGGTGATGATGGACTTTTGTGAAAGCAAGGCTCTGTGAAATTGCATGAAAACGTGAGTTCGAGTCGTATTATTTGGAGACGATTCTACTGCCAGTCCCACATCGCCTTAAACGAAATAGGCTGAATACAAAACAACTTTATCTTTCATATTTAATTAGAGTTTCGATACTATCAGTAAATCAGTAGTATGATATGTATTCACACAGTTTTGTTTAAGGTGATGAAGGACATTTGTGAAAGCAAGGCTGTTTGAAATTGCATGGAAAAGTCAGCTTGAGTCACATTATTGTGATACAATTCTACTGCCAGTCCTTCATCGCCTTAAACGAAATAGGGTGAAAAATGAACAGCTAAATTTTTCATATTTAAGTCGAGTTTCGATACTATCAGTAGATCATTAGTATGATATGTATTCACTCCGTTTAGTTTAACGTGATGAAGGACTTTTGTGGAAGCAAGACTGTGTAAAATTGCATGGAAACGTCAGCTTGAGTCACATTATTGTGAGATAATTCTACTGCCAGTCCTTCATCTCCTTAAACGAAATATGGTGAAACAGAACAAGTTATTATTCATATTTAAGTAGATTTTCGATACTGCCACTAAATCATTAGTATGATATGTATTCACCCAGTTTTGTTTAGAGTGATGTAGGAATTTGTGAATTCAAGGCTCTGTGAAATTGCATAGAAACCTCAGCTCAAGTCGCATTGTTGTGATACAATTCTAATGC